TGGTTGCTCTGGTTGTCAGAAGGAGCATCGGCCTCGTGACTTCCGAAGAAACTCGGCTTTCATCATGAGGCGTCATAATTCTTCTAAACGAAGACCTCCTGACTCCCAGGGCAGAGTTTAAATGGTTTGAATAATTTTTTCTGGTTAGCGTTTTTTAGCGAGTTAGTTTTCAACGGGATGAGGTCGCTAACCCTATGCCCAACCCTCCTCCTTTATCCGGGCTTGGGACCGGCAGTAGCCCCCCGTAAGGGACTCCAGGCGGAGTTGCCACACCACATTAGCACATGATAAACACCAAATTCATAAAAGTAGTCACTTCAATGGTAGTAATACAAAAATGAAATATAATATAGAGAGAAAGAATTAGTTTGTGGAAATAAAGGTACAACGCAATTTTAATTCCACGGTTTAAGGGAAGACAAAGAGTGTATACACCGACGCCATTGTGATCGATTCTGATCCATGTCATCCAGAGTCTAACCATTTGTTATGATAGTCGCGCGGACCCCAACCAAGTTATCTGCATCTGCCAACATGGCTGAGAGCAGAAGTTAGTGACTTCAAGGACTGATGCCACGTTTTGGTTTCGCCGCTCCAACCAACACTAGTCGCAGTAATCGGTGCTCAGGCATACGTAACATGTGGCTCATCCATTATACCGTGCGTCTAACCTTAATATTACTTACTCAGTGATCCCAGCAAATAGGAGCTATTCTGCTAAGGCATCTGTGGTCAAATACCAGTAGTTTATGGGCATCTTCTGCTCTTAATGGCCACGTTTCACAGACATAAAGTGGAACAAAACAGACTGCTGCGCATTATACTGCCCTCTTGATTGATAGAAGGATATCTCGCCTTCACCCTAGGTGAAGTAACTTGGCAAAAGCCAAACTAGCTTCTCAAATCCGTGCTGAGATTTCGTCAAACACCAAACTCTTTGGGCTGGTCTAACCTCCAAAATTAGTGGGGTTGTCAACGCGCTTGACTACTTCACTCCCTACCTTTAGTTCAGGTATTGACGCAGGCCAGTTTAAAGCGACAACGTGCATTTAGAGGTAGAAAAACACATTCCAAACATGCTGACATTGTTGCTCAGGCTACTAAAAAACTACATTTTATCAGTGTTTTCACCAAACAGGACTATATCATCGATAAGTGGACCTCCTGGTAGGAGATCAATGCCCCTTAATTCAGTTGATGAAAGCGTTATTTCCATCAGTAGATCTATGATGAAGTTAAACAAAAATGGAGAAACTGGACAGCCTTGGCGGACACCACTAGAGGTTGCAAAATCAGATGACAGTTCTCCATAAGCTCTGACTCGACTAGTAGTGTTCGAGTAAAGAGCCTTCACAAGGTTTACGTACTTCTGAGGTACGCCTTTCAGTGACAGACACTGCCATAGATCCTCTAGGTCCACAGAGTCAAATGCTGCTTTTAAGTCATGAAAAACTATCATTGTCGGATGCCGATAAGCATGCCTATGTCCTAGAACCTGACGAATGGTGAATATGTTGTCGATGCAGCCACGACCAATTCTGAAGCCAGCCTGATTTTCTCGTGTTTTCAGTTCACGAGTCTTAGGCGTCCGATAATTATTGAGGCTAGTATTTTCGATGATATATTAGTCAAAGTAATCTCTATGGTTGTCACAGGATGACCAGTCATGGGATCACGTCCAAATTTTAACTTAAATATTAGTCAACTTAATCGCTAAAACTAGACCACCATCCTTAAAGACCTCTGGGGCCAATCCGTCTGGACCAGCTGCCCTTCCTCGTTTCAGATTAGCTATAGCCTTTTGAACTTCAGCTAGAGTTGGGGGACCTACTTCAATGTTCCATTCATACTGTCTGGGAATAGAGGGTAGTTGTAGAGTAGCTGAAGGCCAACTGAACTGCTCCTTAAAATGTTCCGCCCATCGTTCTAAACGTCTGGACTGGGAGCAGATGAGAGTGTCGTATTTTTCCGAAATGGTCTGACTTACACTTGATTTATTAATTCCAGTTTCTTTTATTAGTCTGTAGAGTTGTCTTGTGTTCCCTATAGCCGCCGCCTTTTCCATCTCTTTTGCTTTCGTTACCCACCACTGCTCACGATCATTCCTTAGACTTTTGCTTAACCTAGATCTGATTTGTTTACGCTCTTCATCGTGTTCAGAACCTGATGGGATGAGTTTACGAGGATCTATCAGTGCAATAGACCTTGAAGAAATCCATTGGTTCTTTGTAACCCTGTGGTTTAAATCACTAGTAGATGTCACTGCTGTTTCCACAGCTGCTTGTATGTCTTTCCAATCAACATCTGGGTCAGCCTCGTTTTCAGAACTACCTAAGTGTGAGCTCAGTTGTTCCTGGAACCTACTTTTGGTTTTCTCATTACGCAATTCGGTTCTAATGAGTCTTTTTTGCGTCCAGTGAGGCGTAAACAGATGCGTGCTCGTATTAGGGCATGGTCGGAGTCCAAGCAGGTACTCCAGAATGAACGACAATCTTCTATTGACTCTCTCCAACGATGACTGATGGCAATATGGTCTATTTGAGTCCATCGTTGGTTTGGTGCAGGTGGTCGCCATGTTACACGATGTCTCTCCTTATGCTGAAAGTTTGTGTTTGCTAAAAATAAACGGTTGTCTGAGCACAGTTGCAGCAGACGATCACCATTATCTGTTCGCTGTGCCGGAATACTAAAATACCCACCTAAATGTCATTCTGTTTCGTTTAACCTACCTGCCTGGGCATTAAAGTCACCTGCTACGACTACTATGTCTGGACGTTTAGCTTTCTGAAGAAGTTCAGAGAGTTTTCTGTAAAATTCATCTTTCACTTCATCCGAGCTGCAGTCAGTGGGAGCGTAGGCAGAAACGACGAAAAGGCAACGACGTGTGTCCCTATCCTTCCGGGTTCTTACGGAGCCATTTAGCCGAACAGCGCATAGACGACTGTTAACGAGGATCCACTCTAATAGCGTTTGTTCCTCCCTCATGCTTAGTGCTATGCCTACACCTGCCAATCCACGAGAACTAGACATCGGGTCGCCAGATACACGGACGGTGTATCTCGTCAGCTCTCTGTTTTGCCGAGGTGAGGTTAAGTGAATGACGACACTAGGATCCTGTATGCGTGTTTCGGAGACACAGCATACATCAATGGTACTAGATTCTAGGGTTTTAGCCAAGGAAGCTTGCTGACCGATTTGGCATAGTGTGCGTACGTTGGAGGCTCCAATGTGTAGTTTGGACCGAGGTTTCAGTAGATCTGGGACAGTGTTTTGCGCAGTAGAATCGTTGGCTGTGGTGACACTTGAGGAGAAAACCAAAAGAGGAAGCTTAGATTTGAAAGTCGATGTAGGAGGAATAATAGGAATTAAAGAGGAAGATTGATTATAAATGCAGTTATTTTGAGTTAGTGTTTGAGGTACAAGATCGGTTATCACTTCCTGGTTGCCCACACTGTCAAAGGATTTTTCTAAATGTGCCCAAAAAGGAAATTGGGTTAGGGATGGGTTTAGTGACTTGAGAGCGTCACCGCAGTCCTCAAGGGACAACGGCTTGTCGAGCACGACCTGTTTGTGAATACTTTTCGTGTCGGCTCCGCAGTTGTTGGGACCTTGCTGCTAGAAACGAAATTCGTGGAATAAGGCGAGGTGTGCATTTTTAGGGTCGACCTTTTCTAACCCACCCTACCTTGTGGGAAGGCAGCATCGTTGTTATGCTGGTTGTCTGAAGGAAACACTTTACTGTTGTCACACCTCTGTACAGTCAGCAGTACGACTTCGCCTTCGGACCTTGGTTTTGTCGCTTTTAGTCTTACCGCTCTTCAACCGACCTGTCTGGCATGGTAGGACCTTGAGGAACGGTTGTTCCAGCCAGTATAGCTCAGTTGTTTCATCACGATAGGCAAGCCCGACCACCACATCATGGGATAGCAACAACGGTCGAGGCATTGTAAAGAAGAATGGGCGTGGTCGGTTTTGGGTAATTTAAAACGGTTATTGTGAAGTTATTCGTCTTCTGAGTACCATTAGTTTGTAAATTAAAGTAACGGATTGTGATATATTTTTACTGTTAAAGACTACCCGTGACGGGACACGAGTAGAATGTATCCCAACTGCGTACTGCATATTGCTCATCGTAATGAATCGTAGTATCAAGTGCTCGTGCACATAATCCATAAAGTCTATCGATCCCATCAGTGACTGTCGTGAACCTGTTTTCGATAGACTAGTTTGGCCTCTTAAGATACTACAGTTCTTCTGACCTTTGAATATCACTTATCACAAAGAAACAGTTCTAGTTGACAAGCTTCTCGTTAGACATATTTTACTGCATATTATCGTCTACTTTTTTTTGTAATGTTCAGTGTTACACAGGACTACATCTTTATGAGCGTTCATTAGTAGAATACGATACAACCGGTAGCTAAGTTGCGCTGGTTTTAGGTTTTAGCAGGTTTGTGCATCTAATTTCTGTCCTGATATATTTTCCACTATTGTTTTTAGTGAAGACTAATATGTCCTTAATGTATAAAAAGTAATTCACCACTCACGTTTAAACTTGACTGACATGGCACTATGACCCCAGGGAGAGTTTAGCATCTTCACAGTCTGTGCACCCAAACTTGTAATTGTTTCCCTGAATATCTTACATGTCAGTCACTTTTATATATCCTTCCTAGGACTACATCGTTTATGGCCTTTCCATAAAATATCATTTACGATCTTCAAAGGTGTGAAATGTTTCCATCATAGTTACTTATACCAATAACTTAAATAATCTCTGCCGCAATACATAAACATAATACATTATAATAACGCAATGTGATTGTGAAGTGACAAACGACCAGATTTCTTCTCGTTACAACACTGATCTTGATACTTTTTTTATTGCTGATTGTATCTGGACCGCGTATAACTGTTTGTGCAAAAACAAGCGTGGTTATTGTAATAACGTGGTTCAGTGATATTTTACTAGTTGTTTGTTTCTTATAACCTGTTTACAGGTAGTCCTCACGACCATCATCTAAAATGTTTGGTTTTGTATCGTAATCTTCCTGCACGTTGCTTTTGCGGTCACTGGTTCCTTCTCGTTGATGAACAGCGCTATGAGGAGGAGCGAGAGAAAAAGTGGAATAAAATTAAAGATGAACCAGCAAATGCTGATTTGCTTAAACGATTTGATATCTTGGAGAAAGAATTAAACATCCTTTTAGCAGATGGGAAATCTATGACACCAAAGTCTCCGGGTGCGGATGAAATGATGGACAACATGGCTCTAAAATGGAAGGAAATGAAAGAAGTGTATGCTGTCATACGCAAAAATATGCTGCTTGACTAAAACAAATAGGTGTTCTGTATTTCAGAGTGGATAAGTTTTAGTCGGTTTAGCATTAGCCAACAATTTCAAATAGTCTTGTTATTGAAACCAGTAAAATTAAAATTTCTTTTTACTGTTTACATAACTTTGGTTTTGTTTACTATTATTGCAAGGGTCCTTTATTGAAGCCTTGTTGTGAACAAAAGTCTTAGGCTGTAAGAAATGAAACAATAGGGAACCTCAACTTGGCCTAAATATAGAATAATTTAACACTAATTGCTGTGACCTTAATGCGAAGTGCTGTGGATTGTAATTCTTTCTACTTTGTTCTCTTGGGGCTTTAATGTCTGGAAGCAAGTTGTGTTGTTTCAGCTGATGCAAATGCGTTAACCCAAATCTAAATGAAAAGCATTGATTTCACATGTTGGCATTGTGAACTATTTTCGTGTTGATCAAGACAAAAAAACTATGACACTAATGCGTAAACTGTTTCAAAACTCTTGATGCCTCACTCATTATGTTCCTTTACGAATAACTAAACCTGTGACTTGATCAATGCATACTGAACAAAATTGTAAACATATGTTAATATCCCGTGTATTGCATGTCTTTTCATTTTATCAGAAGTCGAGACGCGGTGCCTCAAACTGCTTAACGATAGTGGAAAACCATAAATGAAGCTGTACGTACTGGTCGCCTGATAATTGCCTATAATTTATACCAGTGTGCTAGTCAACCAAGGAAGCTAGAATGGCTACTCAAGCGAGTAGCCGAATCTCATCGGTTCTACAGTAACATCCATGATTGTATTATTGTTTGTGTCCACACCTTTCAGGTAATGGTTTAACAGATGTAACATACAAGTGATGCCATGTAGTTAGATTTCAGAGACTACTCAGTAATGGAGCTTGTTCAAGAAAAAGTGGTCTGACACTGATACGAAATAATTGAACTCAAAAACAGGATACATAAAGTCTTTTATAATAAGATAGTACCTTAGGTTTCACTTGAACAATAAGTTCCTGTACTAAAAATGCAAATGCTATTGGTTCGTGTGTCACGTTTTATATCCGCGTAAGTATGGTAAAGGGCTTGCTCAGTGCAGAAAAGTGGACAGGTTGAATTTTAAACAAAATTTGACGCTTTATTCAATCCCTAGAGGCTCAATAAATTGACCATCTAGTATTTGATAGTGGATGTTAAGGTTTGTGTTTTCACCGATAGTCACTCAGTTGTAGCAGTTGACCGAAAGCTCCGAGTCCCACTGGTGGCATGCGTACAGTGAGCAACTCAGTTTTTGTTCCTATGTAATGTGGATTGCAACAACGAGTACGTACTATCCTCGACCCGGTAAACCAGTCAATATATTGTAGAATTTGAAAGATTTGCATGTCTAATTAAGCTAGGTCTGTGAATTCTTTTCTATCAAAATGTTTCCTTGTTCCTCAAAGCGACTAATTGATAGTTCGCTATTCTAATAGTATCGGTCGCACGTGGCATAGTTTGTTTTGGACAGGGATCTTCAAGATGTCATGAAGTTTATTAGCTTCTTTCAACAAATTTTTAAGTGAAACAGAATTCTTATGTTACGTTAGGTCCAATTTTCTGACCAAACTGGATAATTTGACTAACGTATACTGGCTATCGAAGGGATTATTTTTATTGGTTGCAATTGCATGACGCCGTGAAAATGGCGGGTAAAGTCACTTGTGGGTTCGTGAAACGTCCCGCTTACAAGCACTGGGTTTCTTCTGGTTCCTTACAACTCGTTGAAACCCGTCGTTCTACTCCGGGTGACCGGGAGTTCGACCACAAACGAAGGGTGTTACGTAATGAAATTGGGCAAAGCTTGCGCAAGGATTGAGAAGCCTGGTGGTCGGAGTGTGCTAATGAGCTGGAAGCAGCAGCTGCATCTGGTAATTACCGGAAGCTCTTCCAACTCATTCGAGCAACTGGCAGCAAGAAGTCTGGTGTGAGCGAAACAATTTGCGAGGATGACGGAACGCCAATCACTAACATCCATCGACGTCTTGGACGAAGGGCAGTTCAACTGGTCTGCTGCTCCGGCAACATCAGTCAGACCGTCCTGCCCTCCACTGCCGGGGACGACTGATCCACCAAATGAGGCAGAAGTCCGCAAGCAACTCCAACTCTTGAAACGCTACAACTCACCGGGCCCAGACGACTTACCTCCGGCTATTTTAAAGATGGTGGTGACTTTCTGAGTAAGGGAATGACGACGTTGTTTACAAAGGTCTGGGAACTAGAGAGTGTACCAACGTCATGGAATGAGTCGATAGTTGTCCATATCTTAAAAAAGGGTTCACGTCGTTCCTGTAACAACTATCGGGGGATAAGTCTACTTCTGATTGCGTCCAAGCTATTGGCATCCGTTATACTTCGTAGGTTGTTCAAAACCCGAGAAGGATTGACTCGCGAGGAGCAGGCTGGGTTTCGTTCCGGTCGAGGATGTATTGATCATATCTTCACCCTCCGCCAAATGTTAGAACACCGCCATACTTATCAAAGGCCAACAATCGTAGTGTTTCTTGACATCAGGGCTGCCTTCGATTCGTTGGATAGGACTGTTCTCTGAAATTGTCTATTGAAGAAGGGTGTGCCTGGAAAGTTTGTTAACATCCTAAAAGCTCCATACACAAACACCTCGGGCAGAGTGAGGGCATACAACCACCTTTCTCCATTGTTCCATTCAGGCAGTGGGGTTAGATAGGGTTACCCAATCTCACCATTCTTCTTCAACTTTGCCATCGATGACATTCTGGAAACAGCTCTGATGGATGTAAGTAATGGTGGTGTGGATCTGTTGCCTGGAGAAAGACTCCTCGACCTTGAGTATGCGGATGATATTGTCTTACTGTACGAGAATGCCCAAGCCATGCAATCCGCACTTAATCAGTTGGCAATCAGTGTCCGTAGGTATGGTATGTGCTTTGCACCTTCGAAGTGCAAAGTACTTCTAAAAGATTGGCAGGATTCTAATCCTGTACTCACCCTGGAAGGTGAGGAGATAGAAGTAGTCGAGAAGTTCGTGTATCTAGGTAGCTGCATAAGTGCTGGTGGTGGTGTGAGTGATGAAATAAATGCACGTATAGTGAAAGCTAGAGCGGCTTATGCCAATCTGGGCCATTTTTGGCGCCTTCGTGATGTTAGTCTGACTGTAAAAAGTAGGATCTACAACGCGTTGATGAGAGCAGTTTTGTTCTATGCTTGTGAAACCTGGCCTCTCCGAGTTGAGGACGTTAGACGACTCTCTGTGTTCGATCATCGTTGTCTCTGAAGGATTGCTGACATCCAGTGGTAACACCATGTCAGTAATGCAGAGAGTCGGCATCGTGTGTTCGGGCATAGTGACGATAATCCCATTGGTGTCACCATTTTGAAACACCGACTTCGGTGGTTTGGACTTGTTCTACGAATGACGTCCCAGAGAATTCCTCGTCGTGCATTATTTTCCGACTCTGGGACTGGTTGGCCCCCAAATGCCCTGGTACGGCCGAAAGTGGGGAGAGTCCGCTCTCCCTCTCGAAATGCTCTCACATGGCCACGCGTATATAGCCTCTACCAGGGAAGTCCTACTCACTGCCTTCTCGTGGCGGGGGTGTTGTTTACAAAAATGAGAGGACGAAAAGCGAATGTCCGGCGCTTTAACCGGATCCCAAACCAATGGTGCACATGGGCTCCAGCATCCTGAAGGAACAAATGGCGTATGAACCAATCGTTGGTCACCGGCTTCCATGGGACTGCATCTCCTTACGATGCTCCACTGCCTTGTGGGTCAGACGTTCAGGTCAAAGGCTCGGGGTGTGGCCCCCTAATAAAACCACCTGTTTTGGTTTGGGCACCCGAGCAGTATCACAGCCCTCACACATATCAAATGAGATCTGTGTGGCGCATATTTATTTGGTGCCTCCTTGTACCAATATCTATGTGTTAAAATAAATAAATAAACTGGTTGGAAAAAGTGGAGAGGTAGTCAGCATATGACATAGTGTCGTGGTATGAAAGAAAGCTGCAAAGGGCTAGCTTCTGTTGTTCCTTCACGACTCCCTGGCTGGGGTCCGAGAGATGGTGGCTAGAGACGTTATCAAATATGACTCAGAATAGAAGCCAATGGCGATCCTGCTGTAACCTTCTTTTACTTTCTTCATAAAAAGTGGTTGCCTCTTCCTTAACTGAAAGATTTCTTCTGGTTGTACCTTTCCGTTTCCCCCATTATTGTTTTCTCTTCAAATTCTCATTGTTTTGTGTGGCGCATAAATATTTGGTGCCCCCTTGTACCAATATTTATGGTGTTCAAATAAATAAAGACCATCGTTTACTAGTAGACATGGCTTGACTAAAGCTTTTCTATAGAGAGTGTTAGTGTACCTGATTCCCAAGATGGTAATGAGTTCATGGCACTGACTTTGCACCTAGAAATAAATTCGTCCGTCTATTCTAAAAACAGCATAATAGTTGGGAAAGACTGAGCAACGTACCATAACTTGTGTATATGTATCCATAATTGAGTGTTTAATTAATCGCTTCATTACAACCACTAGAAATTAGTCGATACCATTACTGAATAAAACCAGGAACCTATTTTCTTGATGGAATCTTACGATTTATTAAACAAAAGTGAGAGGCATATGGATGTGACTTCTTATACACTGCTCATATTTATCAGATATCTACTTATTGAAAGGTTAAAAAGTATCATTATAAACGATTGAAGCTTAGTTACACTAACTGCACGACACAACAACTCAGGCTTTTAAAAGTAGCTTACCAGTTAACAAAACTGGTTTGGCGTATGTGTATCATATGCGGATTGTCATAAGCACTTTTAAGCAGAGATGAGTGGTGGCTAGTAATGGGATACAGTACACGTGTTTCGTCCTACTTGGAACTCATCAATTGGATGTACCCACATCACACAGTTGATTTCCACTTTGCAATACGAACCCAGTAATGTTCACTTCAAATATCATCGCTTGGTCCATTCATCTCAAAAACAGAATCCCAACTCTGAGAGAGAAATGGGGGTTACTTCCGCTCGTGTTAATGAATGCCCCATCTAAATAATTAGCTTTAGTTTCTCTATCTTATGCAAATTTCCAGATGTATACACTTTAATGAAG